GCCCCTAAGAATAATCTAGAGTACTCGAGAAACCCTAGGATTTTAGAAGCTTCAAGACTAGCCCAGGCTTTTAGGATCATCCTCGGTCCATTGTGCATTGAAAACCTCTGGACCGTGGCACGTGATTGAAATCGATGTCATGCAGAATTGGCAGGATTTTACAGACATAATAGCCTTACTTATCATCAATTCCACCATCGGCTATACGGAGGAAAATAATGCAGGCAATTTTGCAACAGCACTAATGGCAGGCCCAACACAGAAAGGTCATCGACCTATAGGTTGTTCCTATCAATGTTTAGTGAGCATAAATGAATCGGAAAACATACCGAAGTTGGATGTTTCTGTTTGCTAAACTAAATTTTGAAGGTTCTTCGAGATATAAATTGGAGCGAGCAAGAAGCTGCAATTTTGGTTCCTGGAGATACGGTCAGTATTAAGCTTCGAGATATTACTCCAACAGATGCCCGTCTTTTGGAGGGTGACCCTCTTAAAATTGATCAATCTGCTCTAATTGGTGAATCTCTGCCCGTAACCAAGAATGATGTTTTCTCTAGGTCGGCTTGTAAGCAAGAGGAAATTGAGGCTGTTGTCATTGTTACCGGGTTTCCATACCTTCTTCGGCAAGGCTGCTCACCTTGTTGACAGCACCAACCAAGTGGGGCACTTCCAAAAACGTACTTGTTCGAGAGTCAATAATATCTTGCCTAAGGATCGCACAAGTTGTTGCATGTTCTTGAGACGTGCATGAGATTTCGTCCTTAAAATCACATCAAATTGACATAACGAACGAGAGGTCTTGACCAGCAAGAAAATAAATATCACTACAAGTGCTAGACATGATTTTTCAAGAGATTTTCTATGTTAAAACTAATGTGAAGAAGTGTTCACTCATGATTAATGTGTTACTTTGATAATCTCATCACGTCCTATCCATTACAAGATCAATAGATTGGAGATTAGTCTTCAATTTTATATTGTGAATTGGATAAGAATCCTTAGATGATCCTATGTGATTCAATCAATACAATCAATTGAAACCTACCTTGGAGAAATCGGCGGATTGAAGAGCTTCAACGGTCATGAAACCACACAGCCAGTGTGAGAGACTCATGACGTCACCGGAAATGAGTGAAAGAGCTCCGGTGACCAGTGGATAGTCCCTGGAACGGAGCAAAAACGGGAGGAGTCGGCAAGAAAAGGAATTGGAGAGAGAGAGTGTGTGCTTTCTTGTGAAAATTTCAAAAAAGGAATCGTCTAATTCTTATGAAATTCATCCAAGGCTCTTTTTTGTTTGGTCGAAATCATCCAAGGATTTTAGAGAGGGAATTAGAGATATTTTTGTGTCCAATCCTCACCATTACATGTCTAATTGATTCTATGGTTTGGATCTTGTCTAGGAGATCAAACCTGTACTCTCATTGGTGGATTTGAGAGAAAAGAGAGAATAGCCTATTCTAATCCTCATTGGTTAGCCAATGAATGGAGAGAATTAGAGAGCACCGAGATTGATGACGTGGCTAGGTTGTCTTGTAATTATGGAGATGGCTCCTTGCTAATAAAGGATGTGGCATTGTGGTAGATATTTTAAATGGAGATGTGACCGGCTCTTATGGGCTGCAATGGGTTTGGTTTTTGGCCTAATGGGCCAAGTTGGCCTTGGGTTGTCTTTGGCCTATTAAGCTGCGCTCACCCGGGTCGATCGTATTGAACCTGTTGGGCCCCGGTCTTCGTAATCCTCCATCGCTCCTTAGAAACCCTAAATCTACATGTGGATGTTGAATTGACAAGCATATGCAATATTTTACATGTTTTGATAATTTGTGACCGTTCTTCGGTTTGATAAAAAAGTCCGCTGAAAAGTTAATTCTTGATTTATCAGCAAAATGAGGCTTAATGACTAATGAAATGTAATGCTTCTAACTTCTGCATGCAATTGGGATGCTCTGAATGTTTAACTAATTGTTTTTGGGTCTAGAATGGAATTTTGTTGCGATGAGAGGTCTCAAGTCTCGAATTATTGTAAGTTTAACATGTCAGAAAAGTGCAGGTGTAGTTTCAGGTTCCAGGTGAAATCTGTAAGGAAGCTGGAAGGAACCTAAAACCACTTACCTGAATGTCGATTACCTTTCTCTTTTTGTAAGAGTAATCATACATTCGAGCTCGAAGAAGCTCCAATCGCCGTGACTGAGCTTGACGAAGCTCGAGCGGTCATGGTGTGGACAAGTTCGAAGAAACTTTGGTTGTTATGACCGCGAACTTGACAAAGCTTGAGTGGATGGTTGAGCTCAAGCAGCAATTGCCACGAGTTTAAAGAAACTCTAACCACCGTATCTGAGCTCAACAAAACTTGAGCAGCCAGGGTCCCAGGTTTGAAGAAACTCTGGCGGCCAGGGCCGGGAGCTCGAAGAAACTTCGGCAGCCATGGCCAAGCTTTGGCAGGTATGGTCACGAGCCTGAAGAAGCTCCAACCGGCATGGTCATGCGCACCAAGAATTTTGCGAACTATAATAGGGAACGTGTACTTCGATATCCAACTCTGCAATTCGGTCAGGAAAAACCGACCAACAATAGAAAAGGTTTCGGGGAAAAACTAACGCTGACACATTTTAAAAAAGTATAAAAACGGTTTTTAATAAGAAAAATGATAGAGGTTTTGATTTTTGGGTAAAATTAAAGGGATCAACGGCGACATTTTACCCGAGAGAGTGATAGATTGGAGATTTCAAATTTTCAATCTTCACCCCCAACAATTTCGGTTTGTGTTCATTCATTCGGTAAACACTGTTTTCTCTATATTTATACTGTTTATAACGCATGAAAGACTTCCATTGTCATGGGTTGGGTCAGGTTTGCTCACACCTAAATAGACCATTTTAATCCATATTGATCCATTTTTATGCAAATACAATTTTAACGACTCATACTTGATCCCGACCAAACCCATACCCAACCTATGAACCATATTATTAAACACATCCGTATTTAACTTCACCTACGAAAATCTGTGCCCACTCATATAACCCACTTAAAGCTTTTTCATGTTAATGCGTTACTTAGATAAAATTTTATATCAAATTAAAAAAGTAAAATAACTAAATAAGAAGATGTATGTAAATAAAATGAAAAACGTAAACAAAAACCGAAAGTCAAAAAACCTGTAAAAGAACTAGAAAAGTGCGCATGTGTTGTGACGACGCATACACTAGATGCATGATTTATCGATCGAACTAAATTTAATCATTTTTCAATTTGCGTCGGCCAAATTATCCTCTCAAAATCTGATGTCATATTTGTTTACAATAAAAGAAAGTTTGATTACATCTATAGCACCGTCCCAACATACCACTAAATTTTCTGTGGGAGAAGTAACATGACAAATCAATGGAATGAGCAATCAAATTTTCCGTAAACGCCGGCCCTTTTACTCGGCTCTCTGTCGCGCTTGCGGAACAAAAGCGAAAAAAAAAATGGAGAATCGCATAGTATAGATCCACAGAACAAGATTATTAGATGAGAATCATCTTTTCTAATATTAGAGACTAAGATCTTAATGTATTGGATACGTGGTCTCATTCGAAGTTTCTATCGAAAGAAGCCTACAGTCCTTGAAAGCGAATTCACATCGAGGTTCCTCGCATCAGGTGCATCATATCTTCAAATAGAGAGCTTTATGTTGTGATCACCTTTTGAGGTTGCTTAACTGAATTATGATTGAGTTGAGTTCTGTTCTTATTTGTTAGAAAAGAAGGGTTATAGGATCTTTTCGCTCTTTTGGCGAGAAAAGATCTCTCAATAGATGGACTCGCTTATCTAATTTTTAGGTGATACCGAGATTGGATCGGCGAAAGTAAAGTTGTACGAAACAAGTGGAAGCTCCCTTACTTTGAGTGCTACAAAGAGGAAGGACCAGGCCACATGAGACGGTAATCTTCTCTCAATAGTGAGGGGAGTTACGCAACGGATTGAAGAAGCATGATCTATTGTTCAGTTTTCTAGAAAGGGAGAATACTAAAATTGATTGGTTTTTGATCTTATCCTTGACATCATTACAAATTGCGCATGTATTAGCTGCTTACAAAGGTAATTTTCCAGTCGCAATATGACTGCATATTCTCATTCAAAGTAATTACGGAGATTAAAGATGAATCCCGAGTCACAAGTTTACAGTGCTTTAGTGCACCTAAGTCGAAGTAAAAAGGCAGCCGCATAGCATGCAGCTGAAGGGGGTACTATGGCAGCTGAAGCATCTGGGGTATTCTTCGAAGTTAAGGTGAAAAAGACAGTGAGAACGGAACGGCTTATTAATTTGGTTAGTGATTGTTTGTGCGCTTCCTTTCTTGCCACTGGAAGTAGTAATTCTGATCAGGGTTGGTTGTAATGAGATGTCTCGGCTCGTAGGATGGGAAAGTTACACTGCTTCGTTGTGTAAATAATCAGCTCACAATGCTAATGGAAGTTGCTTTGTTCCATGGTCCTGCAGGCATCGATTTATGTAGCTTTTAGCCCTTGACCGATCCTGAGTATTGTTCCAATGGCGTTACCATTTGGTAAAGATGATCGGAGTCGCCGTCATATGACTCGATAGCACCTTTATGAGAACAGCAGTTCTTCTCTGGGGACAGAAAACGACAGTTACTTCGCCTCTACTTTTGATTAGAACGGTTTTAAACTAATTTGATGACAAGTTACGTACTCCTATTTCAAGAAATACCGCATGTGCTTAATTAGTTAGGCACCATGTCTGCAAGGTGGGTTCGCATTATTGAAGGATGATCTAATGGATGCCCCACCACCAACTCGAGAACTCGAGTCTTCTGCTGCTGCTGCTTCTTTTCCCTTTAGAAAGCGCAAGTTCAGTCAGATGAAAGAAATGTCTGACCAGAGGCCAGGGTGACTGGACTGGACTGGTGAGACAGACGCTTACACTGAAATCGACCAATAATACTAAACTAAAAAAGGATCTACCAAATTATTTTTCTTTGGGGGATGCAATGCGGGTGATGTTGCTGATAAAGCTACCCATGGCTTCTCCACGAGGGAGCAAGTGTTTTCAATTTTGTCACAGTACTTCTGAGCGGCTGAACTTTCTTGATACACCGCCGCACTTCACATGTAAGAAATCACTACAAAATCAGGAGCTCCTGCTGTAGGAAACAATCAGATACCGATTCACGTATACTCTATTCCTACGGAGCAAACAATCATGCCTAGATATGAAGTTCAAATCTCTGCTCCATTCTGGAGAAAATAGATATTCTAAAGGTGAGGGAATGAGAGGAAATCAATAGGGAAGAGTATATTAGCACTCCATACTGACAGAACATCACAGTTCTCTCCGACGTTCTACCCTGATGCAATTTCTTGATGTATTACTATTCCTCAATGGCATCTAATGAAAAACATAATGGAAATAGCACAATCCATTCCTCTTTCTATCTCTAAGGCCAATTCCTTTAAAAAAAAAAATCAGTCATCAACTAAAACTTTGCCAGCCTCGATCAAATGCTGTTGAATTGTCATGTTGTCGAGCCCCTTAGATTGGACCGCTGATTTAAACATGTCCCTTGAGGGTATGAAGATCTTCAAACCTGGGCAAGTAAAGAAACGGAAAGAAATCAGGATTTTCTGGTAAATAAAATGCTGAATGCAATTTGTTACTTCCGGTCCCTACCCTGCAACCCCAGCACATTTCCTAGCCTGTTCTGCAATTGTGGACAGGTGTTGTTGTCCTGTTTCGAGTGGGGGACTTTGCGTTGCATGCGTTGCTCCCTTGCCCATTGAGCCCATCGTATTGAAAGCCATCTGCAACGGAAATAGTATGCAGTGAGGGAGTTTGCGTTGCGTGATACGAATAGCAGACTGCAAGAGAGGCAAACTGTATGCAGCTCTGTGCAAACAGTCCATGTTTGCCAACTTCCTTCTCATAAGTGAAAAGCCTGATGAAAAGAGGGTACCTGATTATATGCTAAAGTATGCCAAGCCCTGCCGCTCAGTGCGTACCAGATTGTGAACTTGAGAATATCTAAAGGGATATACGACATAATACTCCACAGCCAGATGACACCGGCCCATCCCCAGCCGATGCCATTTATCCTTGCAAAACCCCAGTTTGCATACACAGTAAGGAGAGTCGCAATCTGATAAGCATAAACACGATGAGTTGTGAAACTGTTACTCTTCAACGATAATAAATCAGTTATCACCATCACGATTTCATTTCCTCACCAGCTGTGTAACAAAGAAGGCTGACATAAGCTGGAGACTTGGGCATTCAATGTACGACCAGCTGCGAGATCGAGTAACAAAGATGAGTGCCTGGCTCCCAATACTCATCTGGAGGTAGACAGCTGCTGTAAGCTCGTGGGGATTGTCCCCAATTGACCTCACTCCAAATTTGTCCTGTGAAGTTAAGTAACGAGTTAAAACTTCGAGGCTTGCTTCGGACTCATTTGATAATTATATTTCTGATTTAGCGGATAAAATTACCGAGAAGAAGTTCGTTTTATGTGCAGCCCAGAAGAAAACAACAGTCGTGACAGCTAAGTAGGATCCAAGGACAATGCCGGTAGCCAAAATCTCCCTGAGCTTTAAGAAATCAGGTATGGGAGAGGGCTTCACCCTATCTTTAGGAATGGTCATCATAATTCCATCAGTCAATATGGCAATGATTAACACCATGAAAGGTGAAAAATCATACTTCCATATAAGGGCAAGCAACAGAAAAGCCAGCACAATGCGGATTGTAATTGAGACTGCATAAATGGTGTAGCTTTTCATTCTCTGGAAGATTTCTCTGCTTGTCAAGACAGCACCGAGAATCACACTCAACCCTGGTTTGGTGAGTACTATGTCAGATGCGCCTCGGGCAGCATCAGTTGCATCGGCTGCAGCAATTCCAATGTCTGCCTTCTTTAAGGCTGGTGCATCACTCACGCCATCACCAGTCATCCCGCATATGTGCTTCCCTTCTTGTAGACTATTCACAATCTTGTACTTGTGCTCTGTCCATTTGGCATGACACGGTTAGTATCTTCCGGCCACTTCGATAACAAAGTTACATCAAAGGAAATAAGAACTTGCATATAAAGTCGCTTTCAAGTCGGAGCCTATGGCTATGCTTGCCACATTTCATGAAATCATAATATTCTATATACAAGTTTATTAGGCAAAAGTAAGTGCTATATGACAAGTTCAAACCAGGAAAGACGCCAGCAAAGCCAACAGCTCTCTCAATTATCTCATCAATAGAGAGGGAAATAATCATGTTGACAATGTGCTGGCCTAGGAGTGAGAAGGGGTACATATTAGTCCCCATTCCTAGGTGGCGACCTGTCTCCTTGCCTATGGCTAACTGGTCTCCAGTAATCATCTTGACATTGACTCCGAGATTAAGTGCTTGTCTGATGGTCTCTGCACTATCGTGCCTTGGGGAATCAAAGAGAGGTAACAGGCCTACAAATTGCCAGGGTCCTCCAGCGCTATCCTTGGTTTTCTCCGGCACAGCCTGCGGACAAAAAGAATTATTACATGCATCGATAGTTATAGGATTAAAGCCTAACTCTTGGGTAAACTTGAAGCTCACTTGTTTAGCAACTGCGAGGGAACGAAGATTCTGGTCAGCAAATTTACCAATAACATCATGGACTTTCTTCTTTACATCTTTCCCAACCTTGCAGAGATCAATGATCTGGTAGATGTTTGAGAACAAGTTTAAATCATGAATATGGAAAGAAAGTCACCGCAAAAGGCTATGTGAAGTGGGAAGAGCAGAGGCAATAAAAAGCCTAGGAAGGAATTTGGCTCAGAGCAAGAAAGGTGACTAGCTAGCAAAATGTTTTACCTTCTCTGGTGCACCTTTGCTGACTCGATGCCAGTTACCATCAGAGTCCACGTATGTTATAGCTGTTCGCTTGTCCACAGGATTAAAAGGTAAGAAATGGACCTCAGTGATATCAGCTCTAGCCTGTGTAAAGCACAAGCATTCATGACCAACAGGAGCACTTAGACATGTCAAATTTGAAAAGATACAGGAGGCACTTCAGTAATCTGGAACAAAGAAAGTAATATTTGCCCAAAACAGTATGTTGGTTCAATCACTCAATACCAATATAATCGGGCATGACGCTGAAATTTCTGTTTCCAGCTATTTTCAATAAAATAGCCAAATCTTTGAATTTTTTCGATTTCCCTTTTGCTCTTCTTGGGTTTTTGAGTATACTCATGATGCAAAAGATCACCCGATACAGCAGATCTAGGCCATGTGGCAGAAGATCATTGAAATGATGACAGGACACCGACATTGCTTGATGAACTCTAGCAATGCCGAGCAAAGTTTAATAAGTTTATATCCATAAAGTTAAATACCTTCTTGGGATCACCTAACTTTCTGACAATACAAGCATCGATTGCATCCTGGTTCTCAACTCGCGAAGCTCTAGCGCCGAGCAATAGTACCCCGTCTTTGTCTACATCCTTTGCAAATACCTGATGGTTGATTTTCATAACCTTTGTCAGAATTATCTCAAAGTTTGGGAATTTTCTCGAATCTATTTATCTCAAGGAGCGGTACTGAATATTGGGTTCGCACTCTGTTCTAAGTCTGTTATACTATCAGAACTTCTGGGGTCCAGAACTAACCGCAATCAGGTCCTTGACCACCGTAAACTCGTTGAGTGTAAGAGTCCCAGTCTTGTCACAGCAAAGGACATCCATCCCAGCCATCGACAAGATGGCTGACCTGCGCTTGGCAATGGCACCTTGTTCATACAGCAGACATGATCCAATAGCCATTGTCATTGACAAGACTGTTGGCATGGCAATAGGAATTCCTCCAATAAGGAGAACCAACAGATTGTCAATGCCATTCCTGTAATTGCTGTGCTGGATTGGATACATGACGATTATCTCTACCATCATTCCCAAAGCAGTTAAGCATATGCAAAACTTCCCGATGGCCGTCAGTATCTGATTTAAATTGTAACATTGATCACACATCAGAGACGGAAAAACACGTTAGTTTCATAGCACATACAACATTATGCAGCACTGCAATCCCTTCACAACAAGCACTTTCTATCACTCATCAAAAGTGTAAATAGAATAGTATTCGAATTAATGAATATTAAAACGAGACATGTACCACAGTTAAAACGAAACTAGATAGGTCGATCAAAATGATTTTCTTGATATTTACATGTACCTTCTTTTGTAAGGGCTGCGCTTGGTTGGTGTTCTTAACCAGGTGACCAGACCTGGCGAAGAAGGTATTAGCCCCAGTAGCAATGACGACAGCCTCTATTTCCCCTTGCACGCAGATGGACCCAGAGAAAATTTGATCTCCAGGATTCTTGGTTACCGGTGGTGAACTACCGGTTAGAGCAGATTCATCAATTCTAAGAGGGTCACCCTCCAAAAGACAGACATCTGCTGGAACGATATCGCCAAGCTTAATACTGATCACATCTCCAGGAACCAAAACTGCTGCTAGTTGCTCCGTCCATGTACCATCTCTAAGGACCTTCAAAATTTAGTTAAGCAAACACAAATGTTCAGTTTCGTTATCTCAATGTATCTAACTAAACATTGAGAGGAGCAACTGGAGCAATTTCTAGACCTTTGTTTTGGGTGCTAGGCCTGCTGCAATTGAAGCTCTTGCTGCATTTCTTGCCCTATTACTCACGACAAGGCAGATTGCGGAATGAAAAATAAGCAAGGCAATTATGCCTACGATATCCTGCCAATGACCCATGTCATCGATTTCAGTCATACATGATAATGTGACTTGTGCGTGTTTTGCCAGTACAAGTTAGCAGTCAACTAACCCCTCCTCCATTAGCCAAAGCAATAGACACCATGACCGAAGAAAGCGGAATCCAGAAAAATCGCAAGAATCGCAGAAACTTATTGTCCTGTTTCAGGTGAAACAATGATTAATAGTTTCGTGACCAAAAAAAAAAAAAAATTCCCCGAAATTTTTGATTAGGAGAAGGATGTGGTTCATGCCTCGTGAACAGAGTGCCCGTTTGGGCCATACATGATGGCCTTGGTCTGTGCTTCTTCAGTCGAAAGACCCTCCCTTGAGGATCCCAGCTTTTTGAGAATTTCATCACATGATGTGCGTCCCTGAGAACAGAGGGAGGAAGAGCAAAACGTCCGATCAAAACTCACGTGAACAAAACACATTGTCGAAACAAGTGAAACGAGAGGGTGGCAGAGCGAACGTACCCAGTGCTGCATCTCTTCCATGACTACGTCGGGAAGCACGGTGGCGAGATTTTCCCACCTCTCTTCCGCTCACTCCCCTCTCATTTATAACAAAGGGATGCGCGGCAGGGAGCTACGATTACAGTCCAATCTTTAACCAATCTGACTGTTGGTTTCCAAGAAAAAGATCCTAGAAGATTTTCCCATAGTATGATATATTCTTGAATTTTTTTATATTCTAGGGGATCGGTTTAGGATTTGGTTGCCTTTCATCTACCATATATTAACATGAAATCTATTCTTATCTAGAAGTATGCGATCTGTTACTCGAACTCCGAAAACTTTTAGTCGTACTCTCGTTATGTTTCTTGAAAATGTCATGGGCCGCGGAGTTGCTCCTAAATTATCACCACTTTGTAGGGTAGTTTTGTAATCACAACAAAAAGGAAAAGATGATGGGGATTTCATAAGTTTTATTCATGCACTCTTTCAAACCTAATTGACATGATTCTCAATGCATCGAAAAAACCATAGATTCTATTTTGAAAGATTGACAAATTTCTGGAGCCGTTAGATTTAGACGGAATAGATATCTTGAAGATCTCTTAATAAATGTTTGCCAACTATAATATTGAAATGTATTTCCGAACCAGTGAGATCTCAAGTCATATTGAGTTTTGGGTACAAAATAATGTAGGGCACTTGGAACAATAATATTATTCACACATAGCGATGACTCAATATTTGTTAATAAGAACGTTAGCAATGACATCTCTAATAACATCCACAACACCACATCTCTAATAATAGCCGCAACACCGCAATTGTTGTCACTAATTATATAGTTTGTTTTAGTAATTCATTTATAATTATTATCAACGTGCGTATTATTATATTAAAGTTTATTCTTACTAATTCTATCTCGCTAATTATTGCAACCTCAAATCTCAAGAAAGGAAAAGAAAATATGAACATTAATTCCAAAAGGGAGTAGATAAAACGAAAAATAGAGTTTTGCTTATTAAATTGTTGGGTTAATACCACAAAAAATTTCAAACTGGTATATTTATGACAAATTTACCTCAAACTAATTTTTTAACCACGAAAAACCCCAACTGGTATACCTGTGACAAATTTACCTCAATCTAATTTTTTGACCACTAGAAACCCCAAACCGGTACACCAATGACAAATTTATTCTCCATTAGTTTTTGTCAAATTTTACCATTAAATTTGTTGACATGGATGACACATGGTGGCGTGGTATGATGGTGACGTGACAAGTCCACGTGGAAATCCATAGGATAAATATCACGAAAAACCCCAAATCGGTGACAGAGGATAAATTTGTTACATGTGTACCGGTTTTGAGTTTTTTGTGATAAAAACATTTGTCTGGGTAAATTTGTCACATACGTACTAATTTGGGGTTTTTCGTGTTGAAAAAGTTAGTTTCGAGTAAATTTATCACGAGTGTACCGGTTTGAGGTTTTTCGTGATATTAACCTTAAATTGTTTAAGATTGTTTAAGGTAGGCAGATTTTTGTAAGGTTTCTATCCCCCGCAACAAATTGGCAGATCCCTATAATCGATAATGTAGTTCATTTGTAATTGTTTAGCATAGTGATCTTCAAATCTTAGATGTTGGATTTGGTTGAAAGAGCTAATAGGCATTTACCATATTTGGGAATCCTGCGAAACCATGGAGAGAACGTAGCATTATGATTACCATTAAGGTCGCATGTCATGTCGCATAGATTGCTCCCTCAATCACAAGAGAAATGAAATGAAAATAAAAAATTACTGATTACAGACGAAAGGTGCAAAATATAAAATGGATAGCTTTGTTATTTGAATTGCTCAAGATAGCTTTTTCATGTTAATTTCTATCTTCCGCTATAACCTCCAAAGCTAATAATGTAGCCACTTCGATATCCTCTAGCATTGTGAACGTTCATTAGACCACAAACACCGAATCTATCCACCCACTTTAGACACTTCATTTTTTTTTGGAATTTTCACAAGAAATAACTCTCTCTCTCTCTCTCTCAAATTCATGCGAGTTACTAGGATAATTCCACATGTCCAAACTTTGGATGTAATTCCACATATGCACCTATGAAGTATGAACATCTCTCAATATATTCATAAGAGGAAGTGGCATTGGCTAACTCCTCCATTCTCTGATGAAGATAAAATTGATTACAGAAACAGGATGGACTAGGGAATCTATCTACTTGGGTCAAATGAGACTCATTTGTGCCGTCATTATTGAAGGTACCACAAGCTATTGGTTGGCTGCAGCTCGACATTGCTAAAGAATTGCGTCAAAGTAGTTCTGAAACAATCGCGGGTCTATCCCAAAAGAGAGCTTCAACAACCATTATTCACTTTCTTCTATGCTTTTGAAAATTACTTATTGGATGACTTCTCCCTTGAAGTTAGAGCTTCAGAGAAAAGGCACGAACGTCAGAAGTTTGCAAAAGATATATTGAGAATTTAGTCGTCTTATCTAATCTGAATTAAGATGATTCAGCTCTATTTCGTTTAGACTCTACAAAATTGGTCATATCTAACATAACGAAGTCTCTCTAAGGCCTACAAGGAAAGGAAATGTAGATGATCTACTCAGTACATTAACCTTATAGGTCATGATCAAAACCTTGAGTGATAGCACGAGTGTCAGGCGGAGAGCCCTCAGACCACTCAAAAACTACCCACGATGTATGAAGGTGCTGAAAACCTTATACTTTGATATCATAAATCGGGTCAATCTGAAATCGCACATCGTTTAGCCACTTATTATAGATACCTGAACTTTCCTGACATGTCAAACTTACAATAATTCGAGACTCGAGATCTCTCATCGCAACATAATTCCATTCTAGACCCAAAAACAATTAGTTAAAGGTTAATATCATGAAAAACCCTAAACTGGTACACCTGTGATAAATTTACCTCGAACTATTTTTTTTTACCAACAAAAATCCAAAATTTGTACACCTGTGATAATTTTACCCCAAACTAATATTTTAACCACAAAAAACCTCAAAGTGTTACACCTATGACAAATTTATCCCGACCTAATTTTTTGATCATAAAAAACTCCAAACTGGTACACTTGTGACAAATTTACCCTCTGTTAAATTGGATTAATATCACGAAAAATCACAAATTGGTAAACTTGTGACAAACAGAGGGGTGAAATCCCAAACTGGTACACTGGTCAACTACCATGTGTCATTAAACTTAGCAATTTGATAGTAAAATTTAACGGAAACTAACGAAGGGTAAATTTGTCACAAATGTACCAGTTTGGGGTTTTTGGTGGTCAAAAAATTAGTTCGGGGTAAAATTATCATAGGTGTACCAATTTTGGGTTTTTGGTGGTCAAAAAATTAGTTCGGGATAAAATTGTCACAAGTGTACTAATTTGGGGTTTTTTATAATAAAAAAAAATAATTTAGGGTAAATTTGTCACAAGTGTACCAATTTAGGATTTTTTTTATGGTATTAACCCTTAGTTAAACATTCAGCGCATCCCAATTGCAAGTAGAAGTTAGGAGCGTTACATTTCATTAGTCATTAAGCCTCATTTTGCCGATAAATCAAGAATTGACTTTTCAGCTGACTTTTTGATCAAACCGAAGAAGTCAACTCTCGGTCAAAAATCAACAAAACATGTAAAATATTGCATATGCTTGTCAATTCAACATCCACATGTAGATTTAGGGTTTCTAAGAAGCGACGGAGGATTACAAAGACCCGGGCCCAACAGGTTCGACACGATTGACCCGGGTGAGCTCGGCCCAATGGGCCAAAGACAACCCAAGGCCAACTTGGCCCATTAGGCCGAAAACCAAACCCATTGCAGCCCATAAGAGCGGGCCACATCTCCATTTAAAATATCTACCATAATGGCACATCCTGTATTACCAAAGAGCCATCTCCATAATTACAAGACAACCAAGCCACGTCATCAATCTCAATGCTCTCTAATTATCTCCGATCATTGGCTAACCAATGAGGATTAGAATAGGCTATTCTCTCTTTTCTCTCATATCCACCAATGAGAGTACGGGTTTGATCCCCTAGACAAGATCTAACCATAGAATCAATTAGACATGTAATGGTGAGGAGTAGACACAAAAATATCTCTAATTCCCTCTCTAAAATCCTTGGATGATTTCGACAAAAAAAAGAGAGCCCTGGATGAATTTCATAAGAATTAGATGATTCATTTTTTGAAATTTTCACAAGAAAGCACGCTCTCTCTCTCTCCAATTCCTTTTCCTGCTGACTCCTCCCGTTTTTGCTCCATTCCAAGGACTATCCACCGGTCACCGAGCTCTTTCACTCATTTCCGGTGACGTCATGAGTCTCTCACATTGGTTGTGTAGTTTCGTGACCGCTGGAGCTCTTCAATCCGCCGGTTTCTCCAAGGTTGGTTTCTATTGATTGTATTGATTGAATCTCATAGGATCATCTAAGGATTCTTATCCGATTCATGGTATAAAATTGAAGACTAATCCCCAATCTATGGTGTAATGGATAGGACGTGATACGATTATCAAAGTAATGCATTGGTCATGAGTGAACACTTCTTCACATTAGTTTTAAAATAGAAAATCTCTTCAAAAATCATGTCTAGCACTTGTAGTAATATTTATTTGCTTGCTGGCCGAGACCTCTCGTTCATTATGTCAAT